CAAAAAGTCTTAAATATTTTTTAAAAACACGAAAACCATAAAAATTAAAAAAAATAATGTTTTTTAAATTAAAAACTTTAAAAATAAATAAAAAATAGATAAAACACCTTAAAAAATATAAAACAAATATGGAAGCCTTTCCCACAGTCTCGGCTACTGCCTAACAACTTTATTTCAGATCGGCTAAAAAATTCCATTTTGTGTAAAAACTGCCACTTTTTCTTTGAAAATGCAATGAAGATGACATTTTTACTCTTGAAAATGCCAAATTTTTTCTCAAAACTGCCATCAAGATGACATTTCTGACACATCTTGGCATTTTTTGGGTGATCGGAGCTGATGGTGCTGAGAGGTTGCTGAGGCGGCAACATAAGCGTGCATTTTTTTTATATTTTTTACATGATTTGTTTATTTTAATTTTATTTTTTAAGTTTTTGATTTTGAAATTTTTTATTTTCCTTTTTTTTTAATTTTAAATAGTTTTTATTTCATCTTTCTTATTTTTTTACATTTTTATTATAAATAAAGTTATGTTTATTACTTTATATTTTAATTATTAATGAAATATGAATTGTATTAAAAGAAAGATAAGGTAGAATTGGAAAACTAGTCTTATTTAAGGAATTTTTAAGTTATGGTTTTAGTTCTTTTCAAAAAAAAAGTTATGGTTTTATTTTGACATTTAAATTTTCATTTAATCTTGAATTAAAAATATATCCTTGAAATTGTACGGAATAATACTTGCCCACTGATTGACATCGTCACCATCTACCATCTTCCCTCATCTTGTCCCGCTCTCGTAGTCTGTAGTCGTCCGTCCGTCCGTAGTAGTAGTGGTAGTGGTAGTGGTGGTGGTGGTGGTGGTAGTGGTAGTGGTAGTGGTAGTGGTAGTGTTAGTGGTAGTGGTAGTGGTACTAGTAGTGGTAGTGGTAGTGGTAGTGGTCGTGGTCGTGGTCGTGGTGGTGGTGGTGGTGGTAGTGGTAGTGGTAGTGGTCGTGGTAGTGGTAGTGGTCGTAGTCGTGGTCATGGTCGTGGTCGTGGTCGTGGTGGTGGTCGTGGTGGTGGTAGTGGTAGTGGTAGTAGCAGCAGTAGCAGCAGTAGCAGCAGCAGTAGCAGCAGTAACAGTAGCAGTAGTAGCAGTAGCAGTAGTAGTAGCAGTAGCAGTAGTAGTAACATATTTTATTAATTTATATAATATAATAATTAACCTAATAATAATAATCGAAGCAGTATCTCGATGGCTACCATAAATAAACAATTCCTTATTTTTATGAGCTAATTAATACATTTACATACATGCGGTGGAAATTTAATGGAATCCTTAATTTTAGGATGAAATAACTACTTATCCATTATTGTGTGGAGCCGTGGGGGATATACACGTGTTTGATCAAGTACATCATGTTGAGTATCACATTAGAGAAAAAAAGTAAAGAAGTCATATTTTGGGAACATGATGTTCTTTTAGTTATAAGAGAGCTAATTTTCTCTATATCGTGCAGAGGAGAAGAATTTGTATTATGTATTAAAGATTAGAGATTAATGCTCTCTTTTGTTTAATTAATGCAAAATTGGGCCAGTCACTTAGCTTGCCTTTCATAATTTACTTTGTTTTGTTCTTGCATGTTTTTGGCGAGTATCCCAAGGAAAATGTTGTCACATCTTTTTTCCTCATTTTCTTTATAAAACAAATCATTATGGGTATTACATTATCTTAGCTTTATTTATCCTGCTGCTCACCCCGTGGCGGTTTTGGGTGAAATTTTTTGATTAATTTTTTTGAGCAGCTTCTTCATTAAGTCTAGTTTACGCGTACCAAATTTCAGCTAAAAATTCATACGGGAAGGCAGTCAAATGAATTTTTTAAGATAACCGTGCAGTTAAACAGCGCGGTACATTTCAGAAAATCATTTGACTGTCTTCCCGGTTGAATTTTTATCTGAAATTTGGTATGAATAAACTAGACTTAATGAAGAAGATGCACAAAAAAATTAATCAAAAAAATTCACAGGGAACTGCCCCAAAGGGAGACGACCGGACAGAGCCTCATATATAAGGGGTGATTTATACTTTGAAGTAAAATTAACTCAAATAGGACTAAAAGTGGGCTGAAATTAAAAAATAAGACCTTTCATGTTTTTATTCTCATATAGGACCATTCTACTTCTATTTTGAAACATACTAACATTAGCATCCCATTTTTACCCCCTGCACTTATTACCCCTTTCTAGGAGCTTCTCTCTCCAAACAATTGATCGATGCTTTCTCCAGACGCGACCAAAGGCTCAACATAGCTGCATCTCACCGTCTCCCTTGCGCGGATTTCCCGATTTCATCGAAGGCTACCTTCGCCGCAGGCCGCCTTCACCGCTCTGCCTTCATCGCTCTCATCTCTGTTTTCATCGCCTCCGCCTTCCACCATCATCGTCTTTATTTTCCTCCGAATTTCGGGTTTTTCACTCCTTCTCCTTCTCCTTCTCCTTCTCCTTCTCCTTCTCCTTCTCCTTCTTATTCTTCTTCTTCTTCTTATACTACTACTTCTTCCTCTTTTGATTTTGAGTTTTAACATTGATTTTTCAGATTTTACTCATATTCTTCTGTTTTATGAGTTTTGGCATTGAATTGGCCGATTTTTGGACCTCTATTTTGTATTTCCGGTTCAGATTTTTACTTTAAAAAAAACCCTTATTTGCCGGAATATCGGATGATGGCATAAGATTTTGCCAAATTTATGGCAGAAATGTGTGCACTGACAATCGATTATGGTAGAATAGATTTTGTGTAAATCGGTTTTTAATTTTTTGGTCATTAGTTGCGTATTTGTGATTTTCGATTGTAATAAAGTGTTTATTCCTTTGAAAAAATTACTTTTTGAATATTTATTGGTTGTTGAGTTCATATGTTTGCCAAATTTATGGCAGTTTTGTGTTATTCTTTCAAGATAAATTTGTCAACTTTGTTGGCAGATTTAAGAGTTCATAGAAATGTAAGATTTAAATTGATCTTGAAGACCAAATCTACCAACTTAATGGCAGATTTATGGCATTGGTGTTGTGGAGGTGATGGTGGTGTTTGGAGTTGCAGTGGTGGCTTCCAAATCTAACTCTCATGGTTGTTTTGCTAACAGGCAGCGGCGGCGAACAGAATGGGTGGCGGCGGCGGTGGACGATGACAACGGTGGTTGAGGCGACACCAGCGTGGGCGGCAGCGGCGGCATCAACGACGCCGGCGAGATGGCGGTAGGCGGCACCGGCGAGACATCGGCAAACGGCACCAGTGAGACAGCGGCAGGCGACGCCAATGAGGTACGGGGCAGGCTGCAACGGCACCAAGGGTCGCGGAACTGCTCATGTTGAGAGTTTAGGTTTCATTAGATTTTTATTTTACAAATTGAATGGGGGCATTTATGTCCAAGTAGATGATTATATGTCCTATGAAACATACGTTTGTATTTTGGTCCTATTTGTGAACATCGGCCCTCTTTTAGTCCTAAACCGATAATTATCTCTACTTTAAATTATTTTGATGACCTATTTGACCTTTTAGCCTTGAATATTTTAAGCAAAACTAGTAACCTGTTTTGAACTCTATTGACGATTCACAAACGCGAGCGTATATCATTGCAGAAAGATCGAGAATTTTACAAAAAAGAAAACTCAAGAAGGAGGATCATCATTCATCAGCTGGATTTGGGAATCTATTTGATGGTCTTGGAGGGTCTACAAGCGGGTTGAATGACTATTAATTTCAAAATTAGTATGTATTATGTATGATTTTAAAAATGTTGTTTTTAATTTTAATGGTGTTATTAATTGTAACATTAATTATGTTATTTTCTTAAGTATCATTTGTATTCTGTTATTATGTTGTTTCAATTTGAAACTTTATTTATAATATTGTGTGATTATAATTTTATTATATATATTTTTAATGATCAATCAAATTTATCAAAATTTATAATTTAAATTTTATTATATTGCATCAAGCTTATAATATTGTGTGATTTAAACTTTATTATATTGTATCAAATTTATAATTTAAATTTGATGTTCTAAAAATGGGTCAAAACTATAATAATCAAAACTTGGGGTGACTTTTGAAATAAAAAAGAAAAAAAGGATGGTGCAAGGATGGTGATACACCATATATGGCGTAAAGCAAAAGCCTCTCCCCCATTTTGGTGAAATGGTGAAGCATTTTGTGTAGCTATTAGAGCAAAAAAATGGTGAATCTCCCATTTTGGTGAAGGATTTGGTGATTGTTGGAGATGGTCTTATGCTGCAAAAGTTGCTGTATTATTGGACATATATCTACTCCAGGATAATTTGCTTATTTTAAACTTTACTCAGTATCCTTCATTCATCAGTACCTTTATCCAATTTGTATGTTTTCCAACACTATTTTTCTAACTAGTGACAATCTGTATTTTAATGTCCCAATAGTACGTAATATTAACTAGATTAGTTATATACGTAGTATATATTTTAAGATCAACTTAATTAGCTAGCTTTTGTTTTATACTACATAAATGTTTTGTTTTTTAATTCATAATATTGTATTTTTCCTTTATCTATTCTTCTTCTTCCTATTTTATATTAGTATTATTTTTATTACTTTTATTATTTGTATTTCAGTAGAGAAACTTATGGAGTATTAAACTTGACCCCTCTCGTCAACTCGGGATTTGTACTTTTTATCTAAAGAATATATTAATTGCTACATTTATTCAATCTGTTATAAATATATTTTGTTTATGAACATTGAAAACAATCTACTATATTTCAGATTATTTTTTTCATTATCCAATAATAATATTTTATAGATTATTTTATTCTTAGAATTATAAAATGTCTAAACTTTAGGGTGTTACAATTGCAGACATATTTCTTTATTCCGTTTTTATCAAATTTGAAGGTATCCCACTTAGAATATGTTGACCCGCAATTAATGATGATGACGATATATGTATGATGATGATGACAAGTAACAAAAACATAATATAATCATAAAATAATAATGATTTGGTCTTTATTAAGTTTTAAAAAGGTCACTACCAACCTAATAATCATACGTACCAAAACTCAAGTGCTAATGACTAACTATCATTATCTAAAATCTAAAATTAAAAAAATAACAAGCGGACCAACTAAAAGGCACTACTAGGAAGACACCTAAATTATTTAATGAACTAAATAAGAAAAACAATTCTAAGCACAAACCGCTTCAACCACCAACTTCTTCTTGGTTTCAGCACCACAATTGGTAGCTTCTCCGAAAAGACCGTCGTTAGCCGCCACCGTGCACGACGCCTTGCCTTTGCATGCGGCTGTGATAATGTCTAAAGCATCCTTAGATCCGCCGCAACTGCCCTTCTGGAAATCCCCGCAAGGCCCTTTTGTCTCCCCGTAATGGGCGTAGCGAATGGCGGAGATGGAGCTTCCTTGGCAAGACAATTCCATAACTTTGTTTTCATAGGCATTTGCACAAACACTTCCCACCCTCACTGTTTGAAAGGTAACATTGGAAGGGTTTCCTCCCAATTCCTCAAAAAGGACCAACTCATTATTGCTCTCATCCTTAAAGAATGACCTTGGAACATGGTACCATCTTTGTGTGGGTTGGCCACAATTTGTAACACATTTTTCATTCGTATAAGATCCTCGGTAATCACATGGGTCCAATGAGCAACCGTTGTCTTCGGCTAGATAGCTGGGCCAATAACGACCCAAATTGTTTCCGTTAACCCATGCAATTCCCTTTCCTAAGCCCAATAAGTCCACCACTACTGGATCACTTCCAACCGGAGCCGAAAATGTAGTCTGATCATCATTGAAAAAAATTAAAAAGAAAGTCAAAATACATTATTGTATGTACTATGATCAACAACATCAAAATATATGTATATGTAATACACCGTAAACAAATTTAAAGTACCTTGTACCAAGTCATCTTAGTATTTATGGGAAGATTGTTGGATTGCCATTGAGAAGCAAAACGTGATCCATTACTAAACAGTTTTAGGGATTCGCCGTGAAGACCAATTGTGTAGGACCATTTGTGGGAAGAAAGGTCTTTGGTAATAGTTTCATCACCTTTTCTTCCTATGATCTCAACCGGGCCGGATATCCCGACTTCAGCCATGTCAAAGAAAGAACCATAGTTTTGCAAGCCAACGGTAGAACTGAGGATTGAGATTTGGTTCTTTCCATGTTTGAATTTGACTTTGTCGGTCTCAAAGCTCGAACTGTTAACCCCATATGTTGTCCAATTGGAATCAATGTATTCCCCGTTCACATAAAGGTGCAATACATGACCAGTGTGATTGATCCTAAGGCTCATATCATCGCTCCAAATCGGGTCATTCTCTCCTAATTGGACACTACAATAACATTCCCAAAGAGTTGTTAAAAGTAGGACCTCTAACCCAAAATTTTTCAAGTGATAATTGATAAACGTATTATATATACCTTGTCATGTACCACATGTAGTCACTTGCATCATTGTCAATCTTTTGGTCTAGAATCTGATTGAAAGAGAAGTCGCCTTTGCCGAGAAGTGCGTCGTCGATTTTCTCGGGCCTCCATGACCATTTCATCGAAGAAGATGACTCCTCTGCTACTGTATTTTGTGGCACTTTAACCATCACATTAGTTTGAGTGTTGACTTTAGCGGTGTTGAAAGCTTCAATCTTGCAATCGGGGAGAATGCTAACAGACCAAGCCGGAATCTCATAATCAACACCTTGGTGATTTATGATGGCATCACTTGTCTCGTTTCCATTGCTTAAGAAGCATGTTGACGTGTCGTTCAAAGCATAAACAGTAATCTATAAAACAAAAATAAAAAGTTATGAATTCAATGGAGTAAATTAAGTCCAGTTAAAAATGGAAAAAATGAAATGTAGGGATGATATGAGTTTAATTAGTGTCTCTACCTGAAGAGAATTGTCCAAATCAGTAGTAGTAATATTACCCATGGTAATAGTCTTCTCAACCGAGTGCAACACATCATGAAGCTCCTTCAGATGACCATATTTTGGTTGCTTCAAGTTTCCTACGAAATAACATATATTTTTAATTAATTAAAATAATCAACTAATCTATTAAACTATTTAATTTAGAGTTACAAAAATTTTTATATTACCATATTCATCAAGGGGGGCATCATAGTCATATGAAGTAGTGATATATGGGCCACCTGCTGTCCGACCAAAATTGGTTCCACCGTGATACTATATGTAATAAATAAAATTAGCATATACTAATGATGGTTACTTAATTGTTCGAATCAAATAAAGCAATAATTCCTTATATATAGTATATGATAAAAATAACATTAGTTGGAAAATATGACTTAATAACTTTAGTACTCCGTAACTATATAAGTATAAATGTATATAATAGTCACTACGAAGTAAATTTTGAATACAACTATGTCATTAAAAGTTATTTAATCACATATATATTTGTCCATAACTTTTTTATTAATAATATTTTTGAACAAAAAAACGCTTGAATAGATGTATAGAGATTTGAGACAAACCATGTAGTAGTTTTGGAAAGTTCCACCCCTTTGGAAAAACCTTGCAACAGCATATGCAACATCCTCAGCTGTCCTATATGGGTCTTTGCCACCCCAATTCTTGAACCTTGATTAATTAGTCAATTCCCAAAGTAATTAACATACTTACATGAAATTAATGCTATTATATACACACACACAAAACGTTCAAATTAAATTAAAATAATAAACCATGTCTATGCTTCAATTGGACGTACCATCCGGTCCAATTTTCAGTCCATATCTTTGGAGTACTCAGGTTACTTGGTTTATACTGATCGCAATACCAACCATTACAAGTTTCAAGCTGTCACAAATACAATATTTCAAATTAAAAATAAGTAACTTGATAATTAATAAAAATAAAATACTTATTAGGAAAAAATAGCAAAGAAGTAACTAATTAAATTGTACAAAGTAAATACCATAGGGGCTGGAGCATCCTTTTGTTGACACATAAGCCATGGTACACCAATGTCGAGAGAAGTGGCAAAGTTAGCACACCAGTCAATGTAGGCTTTTCCAGCAGCACCATAAGGGCCATTAACATTGCCATATTCGTTCTCAATTTGTGCTAAGATTATTGGCCCTCCTTGGGATGCAAATAACTTGTCCTTTTTCACCATATCAACTATCTTGCTAGTAAAATTTTGCATTGCCCCCTAATCAACACATGTACGTTCACAATCAATAAATTAATTTATTCCCATTTCGATCTATTCAGAGTGCATTGTATATAATATAACTACAAACTACATAGTATTAGATTAGATTATAGAATTATATTTTTTTCAATATATAGAAGTTGTATTTAATAAACCAACTTACCATATAAACATCATTGGCCGTACGTAGCATAGTAACACCAGGTAAGTTATGCAACCATACTGGAAGACCACTGCATTGGATTCATTTCACAATGTAAATTTCTTTATTTCGAGAATTGTAGAAAAATTAAAGACAATTTTATTTGTTTCCAACAAATAAACAACAACAACAACAAAAATAATAAGAAAAATTCTAAACTTATTCTCTGTATTAAAATCTTTTTCATTTTCATTTCCAGTAGATGTTATATGGAGAAATTCTAGAAAAATTAAATAACCTTGGTAATAACAATAATGATGATAATAACTGAATTAACAACAATAACAGGGGCAACCAACAACAACAACAACAAAAATAATAAGAAAAATTCTAAACTTATTCTCTGTATTAAAATCTTTTTCATTTCCATTTTCCAAGTAATGACAATTTTATTTGTTTCCATAATTCGAATTTTCATGTTAAGATAATTTTTCTAACTTTATATTACTACTTAATTAAAAAGGATATATACTACGCGCATGAAGCATTCATTTATGAATAGTGTATCACTATATATATTGCATAACTTAAGTTCAAGGTTTTTTTCGAAAAGAAAACTGAAGCTAAGGTTTAAGGTTTTTTGAAATACATTATCTTAATTAAGACTAAACTGATTGATTAACCTTTCAATTTACTGCTCACAGTCATAACTCATTCTACTGTATACGGAGTATTATATTTGATAGTAATTAATATAACTACACTTTGGATTCCACTTGAAATTATTTTAATTTAATGATTTAATTAGCTATCTAGGACAACGTTTTTTATGTTATTAGAACTGAACTAATTTAATATCTAAGGATATAAAGAGGCACTGGATTTTGTTTGGATTTCTAATGAAGGGGGTTTGGATTTACCACCCGTAACATGTTTATCATATATGCAGCTGTAAAAATAAATAGGTTGTACCATATTGTATGATAACACTGCATTATATAGACGAGTAGTAATAATAACTCATAATATTATGGAATATATATAGCGTACGTGCTGAAACTATTTTAATAATAAATTAATTTTATAATAATAAAAACAATCTACGTATCTCACTATATATTCCAATTATCTTGGGACGTCCTTAATATTTGCCCGATATTGTACGAGCCTGATATTGTATGGATAAAAATATCGGATACAATTGTAAAAACGAATATCTTGTATTGATGTATATATAATATACTACATAGTTCATATATAATAATTCAAATTAATTTGGAAAATGTTGTGCTGGAACTATTCTTATTAAAATGAAAATAATAACTATATTATACGTAGTTAGTAATATAGTAATACAAAGTAATAGATTAATAACATTCATACCATACTAATAAGGAAAAAGGGGCAAATAAGCCCACGTACTAACAAAAAAAAGTCAAATAAGCCCTTATATAGGAGGCTCTGTCCGGCCGTCGCCATTTGGGGCAGTTCCCGGTGGACTTTTTTGATGAATTTTTTTAGAATCTTATTAATTAAGTCTAGTTTACTCATACTAAATTTAGCTAACAATTCAATTGGGAAGACATTCAAATAAATTCTTGAAGATAACTGCGCTTTTAACTGCACAGTTATCTTCAAGAATTCATTTGAATGTCTTCCATGTTTTTGCTGAAATTTGGTATGAGTAAACTAGACTTATTGATTAATATGCTCAAAAAATTGTATAACAATAATGATTAATAACACATGCATGCCACCGAAGCGGCCAGTCACTTCTCTAATATTATTTGATACTCGATCCCAAAAATTGTAAGATACATTCACTATTCACTTGGTCAACATAAATCACTCTTAATCTTTTACTTTATATATCAAATGTTTATGAAATTTGAATTATATTTTTGCAGGTTTTGTATCGATCCCAAAGTAATTCATGTTGATCGCAATTTCTTAGCCTATGTAATTTATTAGTTGTTTTTCTTTAAATAAATAGATGGATAACAATTACTAGAACGACCACAGTAATAGCGATGATAACAACAATAAAAATAATATTAATAAATTAATACCCGGAGTATGTAATATTCTCATGTCCAACAAATTAAAACAACTTAAATACAGAGTTTATAATAAGTATTTTTTTAATGAGTATTTGTTTTTCGCACTAATGCTTAGTGTGACCAAATAAAATCTCGTCTTACGTACATAGCTAGAAAATCACCGGAAGTGATGTTTAATTTACATCATATTTATAATATCTTTTGTCAAGTCAACTCAAGTTGGATTGATACAAATATTTAAAAAGTTGGTAAAGTTCTTCAATCTTCCATAGATAAAGAATATTTAGGACACAAATCACAATTATCTATAGATCTAATACACGTAAGATATGCAAAACTTGTGGTGCAAAATAACAAGTTCACTTTTATACCTATTATAATGTTCTTAAATAAATGCAACGGTCAACATTTACACTTGCCGAGACACAACTTTGACCATTAATATAAATGATTTTGTATTAGTAAAAAAATTAAAAAAATTAGATTATGAAAATTTACAATGAGACAAGTTTAACAATATTTTTTTCATAAAATAATATTATTACATTAATAAATAAAACATAGTCAAAGTAGAACATGTGAATAGTGTAAAAGTCAAAGTGTTGCATTTATTTAAGAACGGAGGTAGTAATATACTACGGATAAATTATACTCGTATTAATTAGACCAAAATCATCTAAAATCACTCTTAAATGTCAATATCTCGGTCTCTCTGATCTCTTAGTGGTTAACATAATTTAATTAGAACATTTAATTATAACATCAAAATATCAAATTAGAAAACGCAGGAGAGTAAAAATAGGAGAAAAAATCTGGAGGGAAAAAGTTCAAAAAAATGGAGAAAAGAGTGGAAGAGAAACGTAAACCGTTTACACTAATAAAACAGTTAAAGTATTCAAGCGTAAGCATACACATAATAACACATGGAGTCGTCGATCACTTTTCGTTTTGATTAATCATTTTGAAAAAAAAACTCTTTTTTTGTTATAATTTTTTTAATTGTACTCCAATTTTTATAAAACAAAATACCAATATGTATGATTTTTTATGATCTTTCATATGACACCAATATTTCATATTTAAAAATAAAAAATCTTAAATTCCAATTGGTGGAGACTTATAGGCCTAAAAAAATTTGTTAATCAAGCCCAAAACATGAGTTTGTGAACTAAGAAGCCGCTCCTGCACATATACTACCCCGACTTGGCGACTCAGAATTAAATACTTTATAGATAGTATGTTAATTATTAATTTAGCCGGCCAGTTTAAATCACTCTCACTAAATTTAGCTTCTGATGTCACCTATCATACTTGTGTTAAAGTTGAATCCGATACACGGATTAGTGTAATTACTGAATATGATGATATGTAAACTATAGTCATTAGTTAATAACAATTTGGATCAATTATTTAACTTCATCAAGAATCATGAGTCAAACCTTATAATTTGACAAAGCACATCGAAGACAATTTTCAAAAGGCCGTATAGTATAATGAAAAATGTTAGATTAATTTCCAAATAATCCATATTTGATACTCCGTATTTAATATTTTAATATCACATTGTTTTTAAATAGTTTGTTATAAAAATCACAAAATTGATTTTCAAATAAATTGGTGTGCGGTATATGCATGCATACATACCCGTAGTTCCATTCAGCACAAACATAAGGACCGATACGAAGAACAACGTAGAGGCCAGCATCTTGGGCGGTTTTGATGAACCGGACGAGATCAAGATTGCCCGAAAAGTCATACTGCCCACGAACCGGTTCGTGAGCGTTCCAGAAAACATATGTCTCAACTGCATCCAAACCACCTTCCTTCGCTTTCTTCATCAAATCCGGCCACATCTAGACATATATATATATATGTATATAACACGTACAAATGATTGATTATGTATCCATCTCACTACATCTCAATAAAAACGTTATACGCAGGGGCGGACCGTAGTAGAGACCCAGGGGCTACCGCCCCCAACAAATTTTTTTAGTGTATATATATACGAAAAATAATTTTTACTCTTCCAAAAAGTATTTTGAACCCCCTCCAAAATATTTTCGCCCCCAAAATGATTTTTCTGGGTCCGCCCCTCGTCATACGAAGTATATATTATGGTATATATACCTCAGCTGTGCTACGAGCATAATGGATGGCACCAGAGAGAAGCACTTTTGGTACACCGTCAATTGTAATGGCTCTTCCATCGTGGCTCACTTCCAGCGATGAAACTAGACTACCTAAATTGATGAATAATACCGGTAGTATCACTAAGAACATTCGTTTGGAGTGATCCATATCTAGCCTTAGCTTGATAATTAAACTGATGGCAAAAGAACTAATGGACTGATGAGTCTCTAACTCCACGTACGTATATATGGTGTGTGTATATATATCGGTAGACGTGCCCGTGGATAATTAAGATAGAGTTGAAGATTAAAATGAGTATTATCCGATTACAAATTGATGTAATACGTTATTATCCGATCAAAATGAGTATTATCCGATTATTATACGTTTCGATAGGAACTGATTACACAGTACGTTTTAAACAGTTTGTTATGCGTTGAAAATAAAAAGCAATGTTTGTTATGCTGGCCAGGGATGAGATCAATTTCATAAGATTTGATTTGATTGGTAAAAGAAGGAATTGATTACACTTGAGTAATAATTAGCATAATGGTCTAAATTTTATAAGAATGAATTTAGAATATATACTCCAGCAGTATATGTTGAATAAATAACTATAAGTAATAATAGCTCCACTACGCTATATGAATGTTCACTGGTTAATGGTTGAATTTATTCGATTACAATTATTATAAGAAAATAATTGTAGGTAAGAATGAAGAATATTTTAAAATGTGAAATTATTTAAATAAAAAGTTAACGAATCAAGTGGAGTTGCTCAACAGTCCACGTCTATCTTGAGTTCACCCAAAAATAAAAATGCGGTCAAGAGTATTTATTTTCATTTCTTTTATTTATTTTATAAAATAAGATCTCCAATAATATGTGATCGTGACAAAGTGTTATTATGAGACTACAATGAAAGATACAGTTTAGATGTTATTTATCTTTCAATTTAATTTAAGGGAATGCTATGTCATAGTATTAAAATTATTGTGAACGTGTTTGGTGACTCTCTTTTTCGACGTATCACACTTAACCAAACATGTAATTTTTTATTCCGCGCGCAGAAATCTGTAATAATAAGAAAATGTAAGGTTGAAATTACTTTTCTAACTGTATTAGCTGAAGTTACTGTAGATGACCATTTTAACTATTTTTCATATTTTTTTTTTATTTTTTTTAATAAAACATATTTTAAATATTATTTATTCGTAAATCGGCAGAAGCAGCCAATACAGCCACATCTGTCAGAACTTCATAAATTTCAGCAGAATCAGCCGATTCAACCAATTTCAGTATTACCAAACGGGCTCTATATTATTATTAACAATATTAACAATATAATATTAACAATATAATATTAATAATAAATATTATTATTACTATTATTATATTTTTATTAACAATATAATGTTACTTTCAAAAAAAACAATCTAAATGTTCTGAAAGTATCTAATACTACTATCGTTCTTAAATAAATGCAACAATGAACATTTCATGTTTGCCATTAGTATATTTAATTCTATTTTAATAAAAAGATTAAAAAAATCAGATTTTGAAAAATTAGGATGAAACAAATTTAACAATATTTTTTTTAAAATAAATTATTAATGCATTAATAATAAAATGCAGTCAAAGTAGAACATGTGAATAGTGTAAAATTTCACATGTTGAATTTTTTTAGAACGGAAGAAGTAATATTTAAGTATCTAATAATATTTTTTGCTTTACTAATTATTATATCACCCCTCTGTGATCAAAAAAAATATATCACGCCCTCTCTTTCACTCACTATCTTTGTCTCACATGTTTCTTAATTTATCACACTAAATTTGTCTCGTATTAAATTTGATAATTTATACGGTCATATATTATTTTTACTTTATCAACCTTTTACATCAAAATAATACAAATTATATAAGACATTCTTATTATTATTACAATTGGAATTATAAAGTATCAACCGTGTATCCTTTATTGATTGATGATGATCGTATGATAGTTCGTATGTGTAGTAATATAGATGATACCTAAAATCAGCTGACCACTAACTGATCTAATTAATCGGAAAGCTCATATTTATCTCTAGCTATTATTTAAATAATAATAATAATAATAATATAATAATAATAATAATAATAATAATAATAATAATAATAATAAAGATATTATCTACAAGCTATGTAAACAGAAAGACATCTGATAAGCTTGACATGCGGAAAGAGGGGCTGGCCGGTTACGTACACATACATGATACATGCATGTGTTATTAATTACTGATCACATCATTTTTCTTATGTCACTATTTTAATGGAGAAAGGGAGAGGTAATAAATAAATTGCAAAAAATGAAAACATAATGAGTTATGTCCAGCTTCTTTTATTTTTAAACAACTCTGAATCAAAAAAATCCCAAGTCCCAACCGAACCCAAAAAGGGGAAAGTTCCCCTAATAAGAGTAAAACAATTTGAAAATTTCAAAATAAGATTGTTATGTTTTTTATTCCCAAAATATGACTAATTAATGTCATGTTTAGAAAATACTGCCATGTTTGAAATCTGGTACTGCCAAAACATGACAGTAATTAGTCTTATTTTGAGAATAAAAACATGACAGTCCTATTTTGGAATTTTCAAATTATTTTAGTCCTATTACGGATAATATTCTATCTTTAATACTAGTTTGCGTTTTGTGCGTTGAACGATTGGGACAATGTCCAAGTTATTTAACTTAGATATTTGATGTATTTTCTACATTAGGGTAAAAATGAGCTTTCAATGCATTATATTTTTCATTAAATGTTGATTTATTCCCGTTAAAGTTGGGAGTATACTATATGCCCTATCATTGTATGGACAAACATAAGCATACAATACATTTATATAGTAATAATAAACATATGACTAGTTATATATAAGATTAATTTAAAAATTAGTTATTATTCATAATAATCAACTAATGATAGATTGAAATACTCATCATATTTCAAAATATAATTTGGTCCTATTAGAATAAATAATGTTATTTGTTTTTTGTATAGCACATTTTAATACAACTTGACATACTTTTCTTTCTTAAACAAATATATATTAATATATCACATATTCTTTCCCATTTAGGGTATTGAGTTGCAATTTTATTGATTTAAAATACATATTAAGAGTCTAAAAGAGTCTCTTTGGTGATATTCAAGAACAATATTCTCCAGACAGTCCTTGATTGCATATTAGATTTCCATTTTTATAGAGTTTGTTTGGTGATCCTGTTTTTTGACTTATTAGCATTATAAGCCATTTTTTTACCAAACAAATAATTTTTTATTTCACGCGCTTAGTTGTTTGATAATGAAAATAAGTAAGGTTGCATTTACTTTATTGACTGAAATTTTGTTTTTTCTTTTTTTATTAATGTGGGTTTCGATTCAGTTCGTATACCATGTGACCCGTCCCAAGGTGCGCATGGTATTTCATCCCATATGCCTTGTTATTTTTTATTTCTCTTTTTCTTAAAAATGGTAATATTTTTTTTTAATTTTTGATCCGACTTTTATAAAATTTATATCAAAATTTTTTATTTTTCATGATCTTTCAAATAAGACCAATATTGCCTATGTAATTTTAACATATTGTCGAACTATATATCCCAGTAATAGAATGATGTAACTCATGTGTAAAAAATGCAACTCACGTTAAAAAGAAATTAAATGTCACTACTAGCAAGTCGAAATGTAACTTGTTTAAAACATTGATTTCAATGTAAACAATAAAAAAATGAGTCAATTTTTTTAATTACTTTACCTAAATAGTGAATATGTTTTGTTTTTAATATTAAGACCATAAAATGTTTTAAAAAGTCATTTTTCCCCAAGCAATCATTTTTTGCAAAAAATATGATTTAAAAACAGTTTTTTTTTTGTTTTAATAAATGGGGTTTATTTTGTGATGTAACTAGTGTTATGAAAAATGTAACTTGTGTTGATAGAAAATCTAACTTAGGTGTATGCAAAATATAATACTCCGTATGTTTTGTTTTTAATATCAGATCTATAAAAATGTTTTTTTATAAAAATAATTTTTCATTGAATAGCAGCGCTAATTGTGTTGTGTAACTCGCATTATATTATCAAGATGTAACTTACATGTAAGCGAGATGTAACTTGATGAAGAAAGTTGACATGTGACTCACGAATAACAAGATGTAACTCGCGAATAATAAGATGTAACTCGCGTATAATAAGAAGTAACTCGTGAATAATAAGATGTAACTCATATATTACCAAATGTAACTTCAGTAATAAATTTCAACAATAATAATAACGTCATTAATACACAAAAATATATGATCATTTTAATGCATAGATTCGACGTGTACATTCAGCTTGATTTCAATGGTCAAAAAGCTTCAGAAATTGAAAAGCATCATCTTTCGAAAAATAAAAAACACATAATTGAAGCACATCACTTTTGTTAGTCGGTGGAAGCAAAGTTAAATTAACCGACATGACATATGTATCGATTCACTATAGCGGTGGGGATAAATCAACCGAATTCGAAAGTAGGAATCCCATGAATTTTCAGCGTTTCCATCCCTGTAGCAGACGCGGAGGGGAGCAAGGAGAAGAAGGCTATATGATAGTGAGCGATGATCCCACTGTATAATTTGTCATCTCGATTTTACATTCGAACATTATCTACGTATGGCGCTCTGCAAAAAACACCAAAAATGAATTAAAGAAATCAACAATAATCATTTACGTACCAACATTGAACTGAATGGATTGTAATAATGTAAAAACTGATGTGGAGTACGAAGTGTTAGGATGTTTTTACTTGGACTGTAATCTCCCCAGACCAGACCAGTTCAGACCAAACCAGACTTGAATAGTTATAAAAATACAAAGACCACACCAGTTCAGACCAAATCAGACCAGACCAGAAATTATAATCCAAGTAAAAACATTAGAACATGGTAGCGGAAAGTGCCATACTCTTGAAACGTGTCCAAAACATGCCACCTGGAAGGTCATGATAAAACATAAGCGGACATTCATTTTCCAATATATTGCTATAGTTTTGAACATTCTTTTAGCTTTAATTTTGCACGGTAACGGCTAATTTCTTCAGGCGGTAACGGTCAGTCAACAGCGGGTTCCCTTTTTATATGATACTTCGTACTAGTATTATACCCGGGATGCACAGGAAAATATATTTCACATATAAAAAGTAAACTTTT